GGTAGGGAAGAAGATGTGGATTTGGGGTGACTGGAGGCCAGGAGCTAATATGATTACGATCAAAACACATTGTATGAAATGCTCAAAGAACTAATAAAAATTTCAAATTAAATAAATATTTCTGCCAGGTGTGTGTGTGGGGGCATGCCTTTAATCCCAGCACTCAGGAGGCAGAAGCAGGTGAACTCTGTGAGTTCAAGGCCAGCCTGATCTACAAAGTGAGTTCCAAGACAGCTAGGGCTGTTACACAGAGAAACCCTGTCTTGAAAAATCAAAAGCAATTCTAATATATTCAACAGTAACTTATTCTCTGCACTTAGATGTATTAGGAGTCTCTTCAGTAATGGATGTCCAGAGTTGATCTATGGGCATAGACGTGACTATTTAGAAGACAATGTGGCATCATAGGCTCATGTGTTTGAACACTTGGTCTTCAGTTGATGGTACTACTCTTGGAAGTTGTGGAACCTTTAGGAGGTGGTACCTAGCTGAAGGAAGTGGATCACTGATGTGGTAAGTCTTCTGCATTCTGGGCCACCTCCACTTCTGGCATGAATGCTCTGTTCCCTGATAAGAGGCTACAAAACAAGCAGCTGCCTCAAAAGTAGCTAATATAGATGTTCATCTTAATGAATGCTCCACCTTGATGGAAAGTGTTACCCTGTTTCAGTGTTCTGGTTTTCAGATAGAATTATGACCATTTCAGCCAGAGTGGGATGGTTTGTAAGTAATTCAAATGGGAAAAAAAGACTGTAAATATATTTAAAGAGTACTTTCAGGAAAAAAATCACATCCCCCTGTACCTTAAATGAGTATTTGAATTTAAATGTTATAGTTTATACATTTGCCTATGTTTCCTATGCATTAATTTGACCCTAAGCTTGATTAAGAGCTATAGGCAGGAATTTTAACTGATCTTGTATTAACACATAATAAAAATAAAATAATGTAAGACAATAATAGAGTTCAAGAATTTTTTCTTTGAAAGGAGTTTGAATGTGTATTTCAAAAACCATAATAAAAAGTATATATTAATTAAAATATGTAATTTACTCAATTTTGAGGGCCATCCCTTTTAGTGTTACAATAGTACCCAAGAAAACTGAAATTAAACCACAGTATAGCCCTGCCAGGCAAGGGAACACATGCCTTAAATCCCAACACTTGGGAGGCAGAAGCAGGTGGATCTCTGTGAGTTTGAGGCAAGCCTGGTCTACAAAGAGAGTTCCAGGACAGTCAGGGTTGTTAAACAGAGAAATTCTGTCTGGAAAAACAAAAACCAAAAAGCACAGTATAGCCTTTAATCTCAGCAGTTGGAAGGCGGCAGCAGCTGGATCTCTGTGAGTTGCAGTTCCAGATCATCTAGAGCTACACGGTGAGACCATGGCTCAATAAATAGATGATAGATAGATAGATAGATAGATAGATAGATAGATAGATAGATAGATAGATAGATAGATATAGATGATTGATAGATGATAGAGATAGATAGATATAGATGATTTATAGATAGATAGATAGATGATAGATGATAGATAGATAGATAGATAGATAGACAGACATAGATGAGAGAGAGAGAGAGAGAGAGAGAGAGAGAGAGAGAGAGAGAGAGAGAGAGAGAGAGAGATTCTACATAGCATAGCTGTGGCTGCCTGGCCCTGGGGAAGATCTGGCCTTTCAACATTCCATCATGATGGGGTGGAAGCTCATGGAGTCTCACCCCTCCTTGAGGAATTATTGACAGTTAATGGCTAGGAGAGGGTTTTTCACTGGTATAGCCAATGGGAAGTGGCCTGTGCTCAAGTAAATAACCCCTCATCATGCTCCTCTAAGCAAGCCAAATTCAACTCAGTCACGAAAATAAAAGCACGTAAGTAGGAGGAGGACTAGTTGGGAAGAAGGAGGTCTTGCAGGAGTGAAAAGAGAATGAGGAAGGATAATGGAGGGTGAATATGATCACAATACATTGTATATATTATGAACTTGCCAAAATATAGTTTAAAAATGCTCTCTTAGGTCTAATACACAGACAGGCTTAAATAGTGCCCCTGTCACTATATACAAATAGTGCCCTGTCACTATATATTTTAATATTTAAATAATATACAAGGGAGTGGAGAGATAGCTCAGCAGTTAAAAACACTGGCTGCTTTCCCAGAGGACCCAGTTCAATTCCTAACACCCACATGGCAGCTCACAACTATCTATAACTCCAGCCCCAGGGGATCCTATGCCCTCTTCTGGTCTCTTCTACAGGTACCAGGTATACGTACCAGGTATACATATGGTGCACAGATACACATTCAGGCAAACACTCATTCACATCAAAATAAATAAAATCTCAAAGAAATAATATACCATAATCTACAATATAATTTCCTTCTTTGGTTTTATTTTTCTCTAATAGGAGAGTCAAAACTATGAAGGTCTGCCTGTCTTCTTTGATTCAGGAGAGACCTACTCTCAAACATTTCCAGGCTCCCACTCCTATTTTGGGTTTATGACTGAAAAATTAATTCACTTCACCTTAACATACAACCCATGCAGTCAGGTGACTCCCTCAGCTTGTTAATACAAATGCTTTCATCTTCTGATGGAGATATTTTAAGGTTGACTTTTTCTCAAAGGAAGTGAAATAAAGGCAGCATATTCTAAACCCCATCGTATCTGGGTACATTTCAACACCCCTGAGACAGCCATTGGCAAAAATTAACTTCTAAAACACCCTAGCAGCAAAATGCAGCTCAGCTCCATTGCCTCTTCCTCCCAGCATACTTTTTAACCTGAAAAACCAAAATGATGTGAATGCAAGATGCATGTCTGCAAGGAATATGATGCAATAATCGTATGTCTCCAATTCCATCATGCTATAATTAATCTTAATTATACATTCAATCCTGCCTGAATTAAAAGACTCACATAGCTTGAATCTTGTATTGCCTATAATTCTACTGTGTTATTTTGAGAAATATAAAGTGATAAATCTTCTAATGCGAGATGGTGTTTTCTTACTGGGCAGGCATGAGAGTATCCCAGGGTGTTCTTCACTGTTTACTGAGGACCATTTACTGAGCATTTTGTGTCCCTGTTTCCCCTTCCCAGGCTCGGAGCAGTCAGCACGTGGGAAAGGAAACGCTGATTACATATCCAGTCACCTGACAGAAGAGGCGGCGCCTGTCCCTCTTCATATGTTTATGTTTCTCTTTAGTGTTCTGAAGCCTGACTAAGGAGTTGGCATTTGCCTCCTTTTCCGTGTATCATTGTGAGAATTTCCTGGGTTCTCTTTCAATCTTCCCCCTCTTGCTTTCACAGGCACTTATTAACCTTCTTGGAGCTTCTCCAGGCACACCCAGTAACTCCCACGGAGCAAAGGATCTTCTTAGAAGGCAGAAAGCTGCACCCACGGCAGCCCCTTTATTGTGGTACAATACAGACACTGCCGGTATTATCTGTGAGGCCAATATCGTGAGATCCTTTTTCCAACAGCACCTACTGAGCTGTGGTGCAAATGCAGAGTCTTTTTAAATATCTTTGGAGCTGGTGATTTCAGTATCTAACCCCATGTTGCTTAGGGGAAAGAAATGTCTGGAACTACTAGAAAACCTTGTTCTTGAGAAAACATGAGAACTCCATAATGGTTTGTGGACTTTGGCTGGACATGTTGTGACCCTGAAAAGGACAAGTTTTGCTTATTTGGGGCACAGGACAGAAAACGTTTATTAAAAACACTGTACCTACAGTGGAGTCTGGCGAAGTGCTGAGTTCTGTTATACTGAACAAAGGAACTAAAGCCAAAGCAAGAAATGATGAAGGCCGTCCTGTGGAGGGATGAAGACAATGGACACCTGTAGTGGGAAGGATGATGAATGTGATACCTAGAAAATGGGAGACTCTGTGGGAAAGCTTTAACCATTTGATGGAACCCAGGGGCACATCTGCATCCTTTCTAGAAGTTATAGTGACCTGGAACATCCATTCCATGCAGGGATTCTTATGGCCTCAGAGAAAGGCATGAACTTAACCTCTTCTTGATTTTCCTACACTTTCCAGAAAGACCTTTGAAGCATAAAGCCTCCCTTTATAAGAGAGGTGCTGTACCACATAGAGGTTTTGGGCTTCTCAATGTTGTGCAGATGGCAGTTTTCTTCAAGAGATACCAGAAAAAGACCTGTATATATCCTGTCACCTAATTTATGAAAAAGCAAAGAACTACTGTAATAATATTAATGTATCACTTTCTTTCTTTTTTTCCTTTGGTTTGTTTTTTCAAGACAGGGTTTCTCTGTGTAGCCCTGGCTGTCCTGGAACTCACTGCGTAGACCAGGCTGACCTTGAATTCACAGAATTCTGCCTTGAGTGCTGAGATTAAAGACGAGTACCATCACATCTGACTTAATGTACCACCTCTTGACCTGGATCATAGTTACATCAGAGTGTTGGGTTTTTGAAAATTTAATGAGCTGCCCACTTACATATGTATACTTTTCTGTCTTTATGTAACACTTTAAATTTTTAGGTTTATTTATTTTATTTTATGTGTATTAGTGGTTTTCTGTCTTATACATATGTGCACAATGTGTGTGCTTGTTGCCCTCAGAGGTCAGATGAGATGTCGGATCCCCTGGAACTGAAAGGACAGACAGTTGTGAGCTGCCATGTGGGTGTTGAGAATTGAAGCCAGGTCCTCTACAACAGCAGTAAATGCTCTTAATCTCTAAGCCATCTCTCTGGCCTCTAGTGTAAATTGAAAGGCTGCCTTTGGGGCTGGTGAGATGGCTAAGTGGGGAAGAGCACTTGCCACCGAGTCCGGAAACCTAAATAGTGGAAGGACAGAACTGATTCCTGAAAGTGGTCTTCTCAATTCCACATGAGCTTGCACACACACACACACACACACACACACACACACACACACACACACACATACGTGCATGCACATGAGGGGATAAAGAAAAGATTTTTTTTAATGTAGCTTTCAATCCCTTTAAAACAGTTCAAACGGCAGCCCTTATCAAAGCTGCAGCTGCTTCTACATAGCTGCTGTGGTCAAAAGGAAGCTTAACTCTCCTGGTTCATGTTTACTGTAACACATCTGGAAGATCTTGGGAAAAGCCAGTTTCATCTTGACACTTCCGAGAAGCAGCCAGAGAACTTTGTTAACACTGGATACTCCACAACTACGTGGCGTCAGCAGAATAGGGCTGTGGGAAGCAGTTTGTTGAGCCCAAGAAGCAGCACGAAGGGACACTTGCAAGTATGTTCACCCTGGAAACATCTAGTGGCACATAGCAATGCTTTGGGTCACTCCCCTGTAAGCCAAGGCGAGTTAGGTCCTTATGTTTCTGAGCAACAGGTATGGGGAACCATAAGATCATTGTGGATAACTGTGTTAGCATTAAAAAAAAATAAAGTAAGAATTCAAATGGTATTTTTAAAGATTAAATTGCCAATTTTCAAAATAGAAAAAAATAAATGTTCAAAATTTAGATGAAATGAGTGGTAGTACAATCTTAGTTTCTCATCTTCCTTTTTTTCTCATTTTAAAATTTATCTTGTGTGTGTATGTGTATGTGGGCCAGACATGCATGCTCCATGGAGAACAAATGGAAATCAGAGGATAACTTGTAGAAGCTGGTTCTCTCCTTCCTCCATGCACATTACAAGAATTGAACTCAGGTTGTCAGCTTTGGTGGCAACATCTTTACCTGCTGAACCATTTTCTCAGCCCGTTTGCCTTTTTGAAACATATAGATACTACCTGTCTTTCCCCCTACTCTTGGGAAAAAATGCTGACATTTTGTTTTATCGTATTATATTTTGAGACAGAATCTCAGGTAGCTCCAGCTGGCCTGGAATTCACTATGTAGTTAATGATAACCTTGAACTTTTGATCCTTCTGCCTTTGCCTGCTAAATGTTGTCTCATGCCACCATGCCCAATTTCTATGGTGTTGGGGATCCAACCCAGGGCCTCATGCATGCTAGGCAAGCACTCTACCACTGAGCAACACTCCTAAGCCCATCTGACATCTTTCCTCGGGTCCTTTATTACCCTATTCTTTTTTCCTGCCCATACACTTTAAGGCACTTGAAAACCATTAGTTAGTGGGCCTTTTCTATTCCAGAGTTAAAACAAGTACCTCAGGATCCTTTACTTAAACCACAGCATTGAGCCTCATTAGTCACCATAAACAACTGTAACAATTGCACTAAATAAAAGATGTAACTTAAGTATTTAGAAGTCTCATTCCTGGGGTTGGAGAGATGGCTCAGGGGCTAAGAGCACTTGTTGCAGAGGACTGGGGTTCATTTCCCAGAAGCCACATGGTGGTTCATAACCACCTGTAACTCGAACTCCAGGGGATCTGATGCCCTCTTCTGATTGCCACACACACCAGGCATGCACATGGTGCACATACACACAGACAGGCCAAACAATCATACACATAAAATAAAATAAATAAATCTTTAAAAAGATTTCTCAATCTATAGCCAGCAAGATGATTTACCAGGTAAAGGCACTAACCACCAAGCTTGATGGCCTCAGTTCAATCTCTGAAACCCACATGGTAGGAGAGAGTTGCCACAAGTTGTCCTCTGATCTCTACACACAAGTCATGGTACACACACACATACACACACACACACACACACACACACACACACACACACACACACACACTAAACGTAAAGGAAAAAAAACCTGTAGCTGGAGAATTTCTCTCCAGCTCCCGCCACCAAGTCCCGTCAGTCCCAGAGCCCACTTATAAAATAAATACACAGACTCTTACACTATTTAAACTGTTTGGCCATTAGCTCAGGCCTGTCATTGTCTAGCTCTTACTCTTATATTTAGCCCATTTCTATTAATCTGTACTTTGCCATGTGGCTCATGGCTTACCAGTACTTTACATCTTCCTTGTCCTGGCGGCGGCTCCAGGCCGTCTCTCTTCCTTCCTCCTTTCTCAATTCTCCTCTCTGTTAGTTCCGCCTATACTTCTGTCTAGCTATTGGCCAATCAGAGTTTATTTACATATATCGATATCCACAGCAAAAACCTTTCTACTCTCTACATGTTTCCTCTTCACCTAGTAAGAAACTTCTCATGTTATAGGGAACACATACTTCTTTGTAAAGCCATTGGTACTGACTTGTTATACTTTCTGTGATGAAGTCACTAATCTTGAGTTGAATGCCTTCGCAGATCAAACAATCATGTTTGAAGGATATCTTGGGAGTGAGTAATGAACATGTATTACTTAGCTCTGTTTAGAACTCCATAACTCAAGACTGACTGAAGTCAATAAATAGTGGAAAGAAGGGGTATTGGGGCATGAAGACTGTTTACATGTTATACTGGGTTTGTGCTCATTTTCCATTAATCTTACTGAAGGGACTTGAAGATTTGATTGTTTTCTATTTCTGAAATCCTACTCACCTAGAGAACTAGCACCAAACAGTGAGCTGCATGGCTCTAACATATCATATGTGCCTCTGGAAAATGAGGGCCACAGACAATGGCAACACAAAGATATATTAAAAAATACATAATGTAACTTGTCTTAATATACTTTTCTGAGTCTAAAAATATGCCAGACCAAAAGAAACATATTTACATAAAAAGCAGACAAGGTCAAATAACAAAGAAAGCCCTTAATTAGTTGTAATCAACTTTAATTTGCATACCGTATATAATTCCTAAATGATTGTTAATAATAACTTTATATAATGGACTTCCAATTTTCATGAAAATGGCACATTTTGATAAGCAGACACAAAACCCTAGTACTAATAAGGTTTAATTTGCATACATTAGACTGATTATCCAAACAAAAGGATTACAGTATTACTTCTCCATACCTTTATGTCCTTATTATGCACATTTATTAACTTCACAAAAGCTAGCTGTTAGTGACAAACAATAGCCATGGTTGAAAGAGAAATCTACAGAATGAAACAAGTACATTTGAATGCTAAGGAGCAAAGTTGATACATCATAGATGCCAAATTTAACTGTTTGTTGGGTAAAGGGGCCAGAATTTCACAAAGTGTTTCATCCTTTGAATAACATAGTTTATTTTTGTGACCTGAAAAAAAAGCCCTAACACATCACTCGAAATTAATAATGAACTTATCTCAAGCTAAGAAGCCTCCTCAACACCGCAGTATGCTGAGAATTCATGAACAGCCACAGAATTAAGCTTTAAATGTGTAGTTCTAGGGTGCAGCGTTAATAAATATATTTCAACAAGCTTAGTTTTCAGCCGAGTAAATAATAATATAGGTGGCATTAGTATTGATATCAGTTCCTAATGGTATCATTTATACCCTGCAATTAAAGTTTAAGCACTAAATAAAGCATTATTAGGAGATCTGGGTTGGCTTTTCTTACATGTGAACACAAATGAAGCTCATGAGTGTTTGGATAAGAGCCAAAAAACTTGAAACTTAACCACAAGCTACTTCCGGGAGTTTTCCTAGTGTTTTTGCTCGTTGGCAAGATACATAATTAGAACACCAGGAAATGATTTCCAAAGAAGGCAGAGGAAAATGGAAGCCCCAGGAATCGAACTTAACTCCATGGTGTTTAACTCTGACCCCTCACACATGATGTCAAAGATAAGAAGCATCTGCTAGGAATTTGCCTCTCTGAATATCCAGTGAGATTTTAACTAGCATTGTGCTAAGTAAAAGAGAAGGCTGGTAAGGGGAGGCAGCTTAGCCTTGGAGCGCCTGCTGCAAGCCTTACAACCTAAGCTTGATCCCCAGAAACCAGGGTGGAAGGACAGAAGTCACGCCACAAAGTTTTCCTTTAACCTTCACATGTGTGCTGTAGCATATCACACACACACACACACACACACACACACACACACACACACACACACACACGAGAGAGAGAGAGAGAGAGAGAGAGAGAGAGAGAGAGAGAGAGAGAGCACATCGCTGAAAGACAAAGACATGTGGCTTTAAACCTTCCCATGTTACTCATAAACTATTGGTACTCCCTGTTCAGAGTTCCAAAATACCACCAAGCATTGAATGAAGGATACACTTAACTGACAACCCCATATGGAACAGGATGCTCTGAAATTCCTATGACATTCCCAGAGCCTAGAAAACACATGATTCAACTAAAGTATTCAATGTTCACTTATCAAATACTTGAGCAAGAAATCCTAGGTCAGAGATGACCACTCTCACATGTGGCTTCCCTCCTCTCTAAGTGTCTCAATTGGTTGGCATCAAGTACTTTAGGTACTAGAGTCTAAGAGACATTTGATAAAACACATCATTCAACCAGTGTAAGAATGAAGGCTCCAGGACCAGTTCAGCAGATAAAGGCACTTGATACCCAAGCATGGCAACCTGAGTTAGATCCCTAGAAACCACATAAAGGTAGATGGAGAGAACCAACTCCACAAAGTATCCCTCTGACCTCCACATGCATGCCATGCCATATACACCCACATATACACATCAAGCATGAGTGTGTGCTGTGTGCAAGTGTTCATGCGCAAGTGTGTTCAGGCATGCATGCACACACTTGCGCGCGCGCGCGCGCACGCGCGCGCGCGCACACACACACATACACATCATTTTTCTTAAAGAATAGAAGGCTAATGGAAAGTCCTGCTTCCCTAGGACAGTGGTGCACACCAATATTGACAGCACTTGGGAGACTAAGACAAGAGAATCCTTTGAGACCAGGACTTGAAGACCATACTGAGCAACACAAGCCCCTATTCAAAGTGTTTGTGTATGGGGGGGGTCATAAGTTGATGTGCTTATTTTCTTTAAAAATTAATTTCCAACTGGACAGACAAGTAGCAGTAAATAGACCTCTAGCATGCCCCCATAAGAATCACTGCACAGGATCCATAAACTAAAGTACTAATGTTAGAATTGAGCCATAAGTAATAAGCTTCAAACTAAAATAAGACAGACATGGGAGTGTATACCTGTCGTCCTAATGCTCTAGAAGCTGAGACAGGAGGATCGCTTGAGCCCAGGAGTTCAAGACAATCCGTCTGGGCAACATAATGAGACCCTGTCTTAAAAAAATAATAAAACCAACCCATTCCCAGTGAAGCAAGAATTGTTTTGACTGTTCAGTTA